ACTATAAAAATATGTGCGATATGAGAGTATGAGGTCGTAGGGCAACCTATCTATATACATAATATCGAGTGTCTGTATGTATTTTACCGGATGAAAAGTTAAATATCTGAGGTCATACATTAACGGAGAAAACAGCCGTGCAGTATGCACGGGTTCTCGCTAGTAGTATAATAACTTTCAGCACGACTGTATTCACCCATTAATTTTTAAAATACACCTGATTTTAACAGTGGTTGTAGTTCTTGACGTACCTGTCATCTTAAATACTCATTTAGATGTTTCAATTCTTTATTATCATCATTATTTAATGTTAGATTAATTATCCAGATTGAATTGTCATCAATTTGTTGTGTCTTTTCAACTGAATCAATACGAAATATACTACCCATTGTGAATAACACTTCCTTTTCATGTCTATAATAACTTAATTGTCCAATATTAGCAAACGGTTTTGCATATTTTACAGTTATATCTATTTGAATATGAAATAGAACACCAACTAGATCTGATTTTCCCAAAGCATCAAGTGCAAATTTGAGTGCAGTTTCTTCACTTAAACTTGTCGAGAAAAATGAATTCATTGACAGGAGTTGACCAATATTTTCTTTGAAATTTTGTAACTCTTCGACTTTCATTCCTTGACCACGATAAGCAGTCACTTGTTTTGTTTTCCACGGCAATGATCGTAAAAATTTTGGATATTGATTCACTAATTGATTATGCAAGTCTGTAATAAAATAACGAAACTTAAATAAAATATCCATATTTTCTGTCCTCAAAACTTTATTTAATATTTTATAAGGAAAACATTCTCGACTATATCAATATATTGCTTGGCGAGGCCTATATATCGTCCACAGTAATAGACGACGATCAATAACGGATGTATAAGTCAGTTTGAACTCTTCGATAATGGCTAGTTCTTCTGGTTTATCTTTATAATACAGAGAACATTTTATTTAATTTGTCAGCTCTTGCTTTTTGTTTGTCAGATTTTGGTAAATGTATCAAAGTATCCATTAGTAGTTGATAGTACATAAATGATGCATTTTGATGCATTAGTTGACGAGCTGACTGCTGTGGCTATTGTTTCAATTCATTAAAATTTCCTAGATGCAATATACTCATTCATATTAAATCGTGAGAGCGAGATGCAACATCGTGGCTCAGTCTGTCCAATAAAGATTGTTTTTTAACAAAAACATCTAAAAAGAATTTATATATATTGAATAGAGATAAAAAAAGAGTGCGCTCGACACATAAACTTGAAATTTCGCGCTTACTTACGTATCCATATTTTATCAAACAAATGTAAAGCATGTTTTATGATTTACACCAGTAAAGTCTCTTTCCATTGGAAAACTGAGTGCACAGAAATATATGATTATTAAATATATGATAATTGGTTAATTAGGACTCACCTTAATTACTAATCTAACACAAAGTACTAACTAAGATGAGCTGTTCGTTACTCTTGTACAGACAAAACTAATCGTTGTTCGAGTCATATGAGAGAGGACTCCTACGAACCCCTAGATCGATTAGATAACATCGGGTTTCGTCGGAATGATAGTGAAAAATCATTAGTACAATTTGATTGGCTAAGAGTTTTTTCTATCGACCAATCAGATATTAGCAAGGATTTTCTTCATTATTGTATGAATGCAACATCATATTGTTCGAGCATCCAGCTTAATTAGTACTCCCTAATAGAGTAGCAATTAGGGCGAGTTCTAATTAATTAACTGATTTTTAGTTACATAATGCTCGCAGCCTCAGGCCACGCTTAGTAGGAGGCTGCTGATTGCTATAAACTGTAAAAGATACACTGAAGTTGATCGATAAAATATGAATGAGAATAAAGTGTTCTTGAAAATTCCAGCTCACTTTTTTGGATGTAAAGTAGATTTGTTTGTTTAGTTAGAACAAATAAAAGGTGACTTAGTTGCTTCCTACCTCGAACCATTCGGTAATTTTTTGCCCATAGTTCATGTTTTGTTGGATTGAAAGAAAAAACATAAATTGCATCGATTTGTTTTAATTGATAAGTTTGTGGTACTAATTGTTCTCTCAATGATCCAGATACAATAAGAAGCATTTTCTCTTTTGATGTTTCTACTGCTATTAGGTAACGCTTACAATCTTGAGCACTGTTAAATAATTTTAAGTAATCAATTGTTGAACGTAATCGGTTTTGCATATCTAAACAATCATCCGTGCGATTGATATCATCATCAGGCCAAATAAGTGAGAAATTCTCAAGATTATCTGAGGGGTATCTTTTGATCAAATAATAATGATGATGCTGTTGTTGTTGTTAAAACATTAGGATTCGTTGAAAGGCTGTACGACGACGATTTATTGTTACCCATTACTTTATCAGCTCTTTATTGAAAATTTCTTTTGCGACAACACCCAAAATATACCCAATAATCGATTTGGAGAAACGAAAAAACTCCATTTTTTTATTTCGCTTTAATATTATTATCTTTCGGTTTTTTCCTTATTAGTCAGCTTTTTGTGATAGCTAGCTGTAGCTAATAAAATTTGATGCATCATGCCGAACGAATTTTTCATTTCTCTTATATACTGACAAAAGCTTCAAAAACATTCTACAAATAGCCAAAAGAATAAATTATTTAATTAATATTTCTAGACCCAAGGTTTTCACTTTAAAACGATTTTCCCACCTTAATCTCAGAAAAATCGCTCAGAGAAATCTATACCTCTGAGTTGTGAACCTATAGAAAATTCTATTAACGCCAGAAATATGAGATACGAAAATCTAAAAATCCAAAATATCAGAAGTAATCCAAAGGCTCAATGACTTTGTGTTTGATTGACATATCAGCATTTAAAATATTCAAAATCTGAGACTTCATCGAATATTTTAAAGTACAAATCAAAAATTGATAAAATCTAGAAATCTCAACTTCCATAACACACTGTAGAAAATCCAAAAGATTCAACAATAGACTATTCCTAGTTGTTTCTTCCGTATATGTAATAGTCTCTGTTGGTGTCAGAACTTACTGTTATGTCTTGAAGTCGCTATGTACAATTCCCGTGACTTACTATATTTACTTCAACACTCATTACTCATTTCAACGAATACATTTCAAATATACACCAAGACATATGCTAGCAAAAATAAATTCAATGCCGTGCCTAGGAGATATATTTGAACTGCTAGATTTTCAAAGTAGTAGCGACAAAATTCTTATAATCCAGCGAGTTAAAGTCCTGAAATACAAACTAGTATGTTAATATTGGTGTCGACTCTTGTAGCTCAGATGTTTATAGCTATCAATATGCTCTCATACGTATCAGCATTCGTGAACGATAGTAGAAAAATGACTCCAAAAGTATTCACACAATTTGGTTATGTCCGCGCTGCACCACTAGCTCTCTAGGTGTTACCACATTTTTAAAAGGTTTCGTTTTACTAATCAATTAATAAAATTTATTTTGATGAAATTCAAACAGTTGAACAATTTGATACATAATAGTGTTTCTTCTCGAGCCTATGTAAACTAAAGCGCGTATTATAGTGTGCTTTTAATGCCACAAAACAAGATAAGGATTCCATTATTTCTTGTGTCTACGACTCTACAACGAGTTATGTCCATGGGATGAGATGTTATAAATCATCTTTTAAGAATTACAATGGAACTTTAAAGGGCAACAGTACACTTACCTGAAGTAGTGGTTGTTGTAGTGGTCTTAGTAGTGACTGTTGTACTAGTCGTTGCAGTTGTTTCGGTACTGGTTGTTGTAGTAGTTGTAGACCCTAACATCATTATAGGTTCAACGGTTCATACAAAATCAAAACAATGAACGGGACAAATTTTTTTTGCTTATTCAAATTTGAATTATCAGATAAGATGATCAGTTACATAAAAACTATTGTCCAAACAGACTTTAAGGAATGTAAGTGTGTGAAGTTCTTCTGAATATATACATATCATGAGTCAGTATCTGACTAAAACCATCTTCACAAACTTTCTAGTGAATAATGAAATATTTATAGTTAATAGGTGATCAATCCATAGATCAAATTTTTGACCTATGAATTGACGCATAGTAAAACGCTCACTCGAAAATATAAATTTTCTTCGAAATTCAATAGTATTCGAACTAATGCCCATTTCAACAAAAAGGCGGGTGGGTACTTTTTTGAATAGCTTTTGAACAAACTGAGCTAGAGAGCTGCGGTTCTCACCATTGGAAAGGGGAGCTGAAGACGCGTCGAACCATATATGAAAACATTTTCCTAATTACTTACCTAACAGTTTTACATAAAGCTTTTAGAAAAACAGCATGCTTCTCATAGTCGCGAGATTAATTTATTGGTTTTCAGGAGGGTATTAGGACCACCAGATGAAGAGCTGCAAAACTATATAAAAATTCTATTCCTAACCATTAACGATAAGATATCTTAGCCATTGGAGTGTAATTTACTACCGAATTTTTTCAACAAAATAATCGAAAAATTTAAGTTTATGTAGTTTTTTTGACGAAAAAACAATTTTTTTAAAGTATGAAAAAAAGCAATTTTTGAAAACGTTTGACTCAAACTGTTAGGAACGTAGTTAGAAAAGCGTTTTCATATGTGATTCGAAGTGTCTTCCTCTCCTCTTTCCAATGGTGAAAACCGCAACTCTCTAGCTCAATCTGTTCAAAAGCTATTCAAAAAAATATCCACCCGCCTTTTTTTTTGAAATGGGCGTTAGTACGAAATTTTTGAAAATTTTTTCATCTTTTGTAATGATCGTTTGGCGTAAACAAGAGAAAAAATAAAATAAAGTTAAGAATTAAAATAATCATTTTGTGGACGCTCTCTGCATTTTAAGTATTTTAAATCAATCTTATCATACCAATGCTACTAGTTACTGTTTCTTTAGTGTATACAGCAATAATGCCATATGAAACAAGTGCCATGACTGCAAAGACCAATCCGCAAATAATCGGCAGCATGAAAATAAGGGACGAACATGACTTCGTTTTTACTTTTGCAGCATTTTTCTTGAAATCCCTAAAATAAATCACAGTTTGTCCAGTTGAAAAATGATATTTGAAAAACAGTTCGACATGTTGAATATATAGATAAATTCCATCAGTGGTACTAACTTGTTGAAATTCTTGAATGATGGCTCCTGTGGGTTTGATGCTGCTACATTTTTAGGTGAAGTACGAGGATCCACAGAATCTTTGAATGTTGGAGCAGGGCTCACACGTAAAGAAAACGAATGATTCTTCTGCTTTTGATGCACATGATGAGATTTCAACTGAAAAAAAAGAAACTTCTTATGAGCCGTTCGTAAGGACGCTTATCTCATGGAAATTTCGATATTATAGTGAAGATTATAAGTACCTGATATTTCTTTGCAAATAACATGTCGTTTGGATCGTTGAACATTTCGATATGTAAATATACGTATATTTGAATAATATTCCGTTTTTTTTATGCTACTATATGAGGAGACAGATTCGATAGTGTTGAATTCTTCAACTATCGTTAACTACTCGCGCTAGTCGAATGATTTCAATGATTTCATTCACCGTAAATCAATAACGGAAAAGAAGCCTAGTTAATAATACAGGCATGACTATGCTACCCACTTTTCAATTCATCTTGAAGCCTAGAGTAGCCGGGTAGAATGCATGAAGTATTCTATAATTCAAATAAATCGAAATATTTACATTTCATAACAAACATCCACATGTAAATTGAAACTTCTCCAGAATATGAGAAGAAAATCATAATCTGTTCTTTGTTTTTTCGTGTGAAGCTCCTTAACAGGTACATATTCGTAGGACGAAGGGCTTCGGGTCAAAAAAACGTTTCTGTTTTGTTTATTGGAAGCATGCATTCTCATCGTAGTCAAGCAAAGACACATAAAACAAAACAATAGAATTACACATTGGAGTGCAACAAATTCAATGTCTTTAGCTGTGTTAGGATTTGGGTGAGTGCGTGGGTAGAGTTTTGGGCGCTAGGCATGAAAGGCTCATATTCACATCTATATTGTCATCAGTGATGTCTTCCGGAAAGATATCTATGCAGAGAAAAGTATCATTGGAGCCATAAACAGTTGCATTGGTGGCTGTGGCTGGATGTAGGTGTAGGTGTGGGTGTTAGATCCTCTTCAATCCACATTCACCCTAGGAATAATTCATTCACTTCTGTTGACAATGAACTAGTGCAGTCAAAAGAGCAGAAATGAAAATGGAGAAAATCAGAAAGCAAAGAACCATTAGAAAAAGTAGTGAATCAGAAGATCTGACTGCTTCACACACTCTTTATTTGGCAGGCAAAAAACGGAATGAATAACTGTAAGTTTGTTTTATTCATCAATGTAGTTAAACATCGACTATAAAATTGAACGAGCTAATTGTTGTCCTAGATTTCGTCCCATATTTCTTAAGTTAATATGTTCAAAAGTTTCTTTATATAAAATCAGTCTTGGATGCTCATCGGATAGAGGCTTTTGAGCGATAGTCACAGCTGTTGCTGAATAATATAGTGCTTGTTTATAATCGTCACTATAAAGACAAAGTGATGCTAACTTAGGATGATATAATGGCAAATGTTTTTCTGACCAATCTAACGCCAATTTTGAATATTCAATTGCTTTCGTATATTGCTTCAATTCACCATAAGCCGTTGCTAGATTATTTAATACTAATGAATACAATGAAAATGTTGTGAATCGTGATTTCGAGCAAATATTAAATGCTTCTAAACACATTGTCAGTGCTGTTTCATAATCTTTCATTGAGAAATAAATTTGACTACGAACAGAATATACACAAGCTAAATTAAGAAAGTCCGATAGAAAATGTTCCTTCAGGATTACTTCTGAATTTATCAAACGATCTAATGCTTCTTCACAATATCCTCTAAGTAATTAAAGTTCATCTAGACCGTAATAGACAAGAGCTAAATCATTGTAAGCATCTGATGACAATTCATTCAACATCATCTATATATAATGTTCAGTGTCTGTCTGTGTGTCTGTGCCGGGTCAAAGGTCAATGGTTAAAGCTCACATAAGCCTATAAGGGAAAGATCTCCAGGGACTATATATGGGGTACTTATAGGTCCTCAAGGGCTATTCTTTGGGGGTAGCCATAGGGCCTCAGGGGCTATTCTATGGAGTACCCATTGGTTCTCAAGGGCTATCCTATGAGGGACCCATAGGTCCTCAAGGGCCATCCTATGGGGGTACCCATAGGTCCTCAAGGGCTATCCTATGGGGGTACCATTGGTTCTGAAGGGCCATCCTATGGGGGTACCCATAGGTCCTCAAGGGCTATCCTATGGGGATATCCATAGGTCCTGAAGGGCTATCCTATGGAGGTACCCATAGGTTCTTATGGGGCATCCTATGGTGGTATCCATGGTCCCCAAGGGCTAGTATATTGTGGTACGCATAGATCCTGAAGGGAGTAAGGTAATATGGAGATAAGGCTATAACACCGAAGGCTGCATGGACTATAAAAATATGTGCGATATGAGAGTATGAGGTCGTAGGGCAACC